AATGCCTGGCCTCAGTATGCAGGCAGTTCATGAAGGAACTGATACCATTGAATGGCCTCCATGCTCTCCTGACTTAAATCCAATAGAACATCGCTGGCATATCATGCTTTGGTCCACTCGACTATGCTAGGTTGCACCTCAGACTGCCAAGGAGCTTAGTGATGCCCTGGTCCAGATCTGGGAGGAAATACCCCAGGACACTTATTAGGAGCATGCCCAGACTTTTTTTTTGGCATAAATACAAGCATGTGGGGGCCATACAAACTACTGAGTACCATTTTGAGTTGCTGCAATGAAATCTCAGCTAAATGGACTAGCCTGCTACATCATTTTTTTCACTTTGATTTTCAAGGTGTCTTTGCATTCAGTCCGCCAAGTTATTTTTATGTCAATCGACCGATGGGGCATCCCTACACATTATCCAGTCCATATCAGTATAGATATCCAGCATGATATTGAGATCTGATGTGTTTTTTTTAAAAAGTGAGATGCACCGAAACATACTGACCAAAAATAAATGCCAATAGGAAAAATTTAGCAGGTACAGGAGACTGTACTGCAGATGTGAGGGGGGCGGCTAAGGCAGGAGGAGTAGTGTATACAGTGACTAGCCGTCACGGTCAGTTTTTAAAATTTAATTACTGGGTTTTTTTTTCCACTATAGCTCACAGAATTAGCTGTCACTTTCCCCCCAGTTAAAAGAAAGTTTCCTTTTAGTTTATTTCCTGAGATAAAAGAAAGTTTTTCAGCTCCGGGGAAAGAAACAGCCAATCCTGTGAGCTATAGGGAAGGGAAAAAAAAAAAAAAAATTCTATACTTGCCCATTCTGAAATTGCTCTGGTCAAGTCAATGATTAGGCCCCAGTGCTGGCTTCATTGTCGAGGAAGGACAGCCGATGATATCTGCTCCATACCAAGTGTATGGGTGAAGTCATCATCCAAGCTCTGCAGCCGTTATCACCAATCTCCTCTACACTGAAGCTGCAGTTGGAGCAATAATGTGACTGGATCAACTTCCAAATAGGCAAGTACACAGATCTTTCCTTTTGCAGGGCAAATAGAATAGGCTTAGAAAGAGGTGGGAGCAGATTTAAGCTTAGTTGAGTGCAATTTCAGTCAAAACCTAAAGTTTGCATCACTTTTTTTTTTTTTTTTAAATGCAAGTTTGTAAACTTCCACCAGGAAGTCTTAAGATTTGGGGGGGGGGGGGGGGGGGGGGGAATTAAAAAACCCCACGCGCATCCTCGTCTGCCCACACATACATGCAAAAGCGCACATTGGGCATGCAAGTGCAGGTAAACCACGAGTGTGCCCCATGTGAGGCATTGCTGTAAGCAATAATTCATGGTCAACTCTAAACAGATAACCTGCGATGACTTAAAGCATCACCCAGGGACAATTTTGGTTACTGTGGTTATTCACCATTTCATGGGTGCACACAATTTCAAGGTGGAGGATTGCTATGGTAGAAGTGTGTTTATTGTCCGATCGGAAAAAAATTGTCAAACTGTTGAGGCGGTAAAGCTTCATTAAGTGTTCTTGCATGGCGACCACTTCCTGTTATCTCATATATATATTATAGCCAGATTTACCCCCCCCTAACTCCTCCCACAGTTTTTACACTACATAGACCGTAATATACCGAAACATGCGGATTGTTCCTGATTGGTGTGCTATTACTTCGTGGAACGTTTCGCCGAATGGTTCACGAAATATCGCCGTTTTTGTGCTGAAATGGGTCCCATAGGAATGAATGGCGGAATGTTCAAAACTAGAGTGGGAGCTGAAAAATCAGGACATGATTTCTAAACTGTCATCACTCCTTCATTTTCAAGCCCTAGATTACTGGTGAAGGCAAGAACACTTCACACAATTTCCCCAGAAATTGTAGCTTTTCTAGTTTGCTGCCTTTGCATCATTTGAATTGCAAACTTTAGAGCTGTTGCTTTCCAGTAAATTATATATTTGGCAGCAGAAAGAACGGCAATTTGCCCTTTATAAAAAGCTTTAATCCATGAACCATTTTCCTTACAAAGCTCTGAATGAGTACATGCAAAATATGAAGAGGTAGACTGACTGTACACTACAAGTCGCCAAATATTTGGCAAAAGCACACAGGATTTACAGTAAAATTTGGAATGTTTCCAGCACTCTAACCTCAGCATGGAACACGCATGGTAAAATATTAGATGCCAAGTCCTACATGAGCAGAAGGAAAAAAAAAAAAAAAAAAATATCTACAGGAAATAAAACAGTTTTAGTGCTTTATGTGGTCCTATCCCATCACAATTTTAAAGGCAGCTCCACATTACACCGTGCGCACTATTCGCTTAGAGTAGGACAATACGCACAAGTTATGATTTTGTCAATATACTCGCCTATATAAACTTGCATGCTTATAGGGATTTAAGCATGTCAGGTGATGCTCTCCTTAGGCCACACAGTTCCTCATACACAAATACACAACACCCTATATGAAGGTGTGCATAATTAGGCAGCTTTTCCTCAAGCAAAAATGGGCCAAAAAAAGATTTGAACCAACTCTCAAAGACTTAGCAATTTCAAGAGAGTGCATCCCTCTGAAAAGCAAATTGTAAAGATATTGGGGCGTGATCACAGAACCATTAAAAGTTGTGTTGCAAACGGTCAACTGTGGAAAGAAATGTGTTGACAAAAAAAAAAGCCTGCAAATTTAAAAAACTGGGGGGAATCAATGGTGGAGAAAAATCTGGAGGTTCTGGTACATTGCAGCTTGGCATTGCAAGCCATTATTAGGCTTGTGGTTTCTAAAGCGAGCAAAATCCTCTCGTATTAAAAGATAAGACTCCAGAGATACAATTTTACCCCTGTAGAAAATTAGTAAAACCTCATCTGGAATATGCAGTTCAGGTTTTGGCCACCAATTCACAAAAAGAACATTGGGGAACTGGAGAAAGCACAGAGAAGGGCAACCAAACTGATAAGAGGCATGGAGGAAAAAATTAAAGGAACTGAATTTATGCTCTTGAGATTAAGGGGGATATGATCAAACACGTATAAAATACATCAGTGGTTCATATAGTGAACTCCGTGTAGAGCTATTCACCCTGAGGTCAGAGGACAAGGGGGCACTCTACAGTGAAGGAAATCAGTATTTGATCCCCTGCTGATTTTGAATGTTTGCCCACTCACAAAGCAATGATCGGTCTAAAAATCAAACGTTCGGTGTATTGTAACACTGAGAATCGCAACAAAATATTCAAAATAAATGCATGCCTAACAAATTATGCACTGATTTGTAAGTTCATGAGGGAAATAAGCATTTGATCCCCCTATCATTCAGCAGGATTTCTGGCTACCAGGTGTCTTTCATACAGGTAACAAGCTAAGATTAGAAGCAGTCTCTTAAAGGGAGTGCTGCTTAATCTCATTTTGTTACCTGTATTAAAAAGACCTGTCCACAGGAGCAATCAAATTCCAAACTCTCCACCATGGCAGACCAAAGAGCTGTCCAAGGATTTCAGGGACAAGGTTGTTGACCTACAAGGCTGGACTGGGCTACCAAACTATCGCCAAGCAGCTTGGTGAGAAGGTGACAACAGTTGGTGCAAAAGTTTGCAAATGGAAGAAACACAAAACTATCAGTCTCACTAGGTCTGGTGTACCATGCAAAATCTCACCTCGTGGAGTGTCAATGATCATGAGAACAGTGAGGAATCATCCCAGAACTACACGTGAGGATCGTGTCAATGATCTCCAGGCAGCTGGGACCACAGTCACCAAAAACAATTGGTAACACTACGCCGACAAGGATTGAAATCCTGCAGTGCTCGCAAGGTCCCTCTGCTCAAGAAAGCACATGTCCAGGTCTGTCTGAATTTCAGATGTTCAGTGGAATGATTCAGAGGACTGGTTGGAAGTAACCGTTCACTATCCTGAGCTGTCAGAACCCAACTCATTCATGACCGATTGGCTGTAGCTGGGCACATGGCGGTGATTGGCCCCATGCATCATGTGACAGCTGTGGGCTAATCACAGCTCATTAGGAAGAGAAGCAGAGCAGTTATGAATGGCACGGATTCATAACAGCTTTGCTTACATAGTGATCACATGCTCACCGGGATCTTGATTCTACTATGGAAGGGGGGGGGGGGGCACTCTGTGCCTCTTCAATAATACAGCCAGAGCGACGTACGGGTACGTTGCCTTGCCTGTAGCCGCCACCTGGCTGCAGTACATTGCAGGCGGGAAGTGGTTAATGGTTTATCAATGAAATATGTACTGGAACTGTTCATTGTTACCGTTTACCCTTTTGTATCTGTGGGTTACACTAGAGGGACTTCTTGGTCCCAAATATGTATGAATGTTTGTTTCCTCAATTTTTCAGTACAATACCAATGTTACCTATGCTGTCCTGAGTTCAATATCTCATCTTTTTGTATGTTTGGCCTTTTCAATAAAAAGATTGAAATTATAATATGGGAATCTTTGTGAAGGTCCGATTGTGTTTTTAAATTAAAATCTTGTTAAACTGCTTTGACAAATACATTAAAATTCTTTTATCAGCACCGAGAAAGTCCTGTTTGCTCAAACTACATTTTGGCAAGACGAGGTGCCCTTTGTAAGTGTTATCCAGGCAGTGTTTTGATTTCAACTATATTTTTATGACAATTTAAAAAACAGTTCATTGATCTTTATTTTTACGCCATTTCAAAGGCTGCCCTTCCATTTTGAGCATGTGACTAGCAATAGAGGACCAGAATAGCCGCAATCCACCCAATTTTCACCCCGGTCATACCAAGCCCAATTTTTGAAATCGTGCAACTTACAGTGAAGTCAAAGTCGGATGATGACATGCCGATTTGGGGTGCGATTTGCTAGACATTTGACACATCTATGCAAAATTGCACCAAAAGTACTACATGTGGCTCCAACCAAGTCGGAACCGCACCAATATGACCGCTGTAATTGCAGACAATAGGGTGCAACTTGGCAAGCGATTTGCAAGTCGCATGGCATGCAAGTCACATGCCGATTTGCATTCAGTGTGACCGGGGACTTCATCTCAATCCCCATGCTCCTAAAAACCACCCTTCCTTTATGTGCGCTCTCTGTAATAAGCTCACCTCTGTCCATGACCTTTGTCTCCCGCTCCCTTAACCAACTAGCAGTTACCAGGAGCGGACTGACCATTTGGAAACTCGGGCACTGCCAGAGGGCCCGGGGTCGGTAGGGGGCCCCATGAGATGCCCCTGGTACCTTTTTCATAGGCTTTTTTGATTTTAGGCAAGGACACAGGGGCCCCATGATTTCCTATTTCCCAGGGGCCCCATGAGTTGTCAGTCCGCCCCTGGCAGTTGCAGAAACCTGTCTTCAAGCAGATTCCGCTTCTCCCACAGCACTTCCCTATGAGGCCTCCTCTGGATCCACTCACCCAGACCCAATGGTCAGAAAGGAGGTGGGGTTGGTTTGCTCCTCTCCCCACTGAGCACCTTTACAAGCCACTACCACACACATTTAAATGCGATCTAGAGGTAGATAGGAGATCATTGGAGTTTCCTGCTGGAAGCTAAACTGGAACTAGGCTGATGTGTAAGTGAAACTTCCCGTTTCAGAATAGAATAGACTGCAATTGCAGTGAATGCCCAATAGATGGCTCCCTGCTTAAAACAATCTGAATACAGAACAGAAGGCTTCAGTGCAGTAATGTACATAAATTAACCACTTGCCTACCGGGCACTTGTACCCCCTTTACCAGGCCAATTATCAGCACTGTCAATTGCACGGTCATGCAAGATTGTACCCATATGACATTTTTTATTTTTTCTCTCACAAAGCTTTTTGGTGGTATTTACTCGTCGCTGGGTGTTTCATTTTTTGCTATAAACAAAAAAGTGCAAAAAAACAAAACAAAAAAAAAAAGATAAAAAATTTAGCAAACAGGAAATTTTTCTCCTTCACCAATGTGCGTTGATGAGGCAGCACTGATGGGCACTGAGACGGCACAACTGCTGGAAACAGGTGGGCACCGATCAGGGCACTGATTATCAGTACCTTAATGATCGGTGCCGATCCCTGATCTGACAGCGTGAGGAAAGTGCAGCCGAGAACCGGCAATTGCATTTCCCGGTGATCAGTGTGTCATTGGACACGGCTGATCACGTGGTAAAAGGCCGCTGTGATTGGCCTGTTTGAACATCGTGTTATCAGCAGCAGCTTTTTACCACATCATGTGATCAGCTGTGTCCGTAGGACACAACGATCACAGAGATCGCCGCTGGGTGCGCGCCCCCGGTGCACGCAGGAGAGCACATTCTGGGAGACTGTCATGACGCCCTCCCAGAACTGGCCGGTCACAGTGTAGCAGTTATTCGGCTATCTGCAGTCGGCAACTAGTTAAAGACAACTCAAAATGCTCTGTCAGGCTTACAATCCAAAACATTTAAAGTGGTAGTAAACTAAAAAAAAAAAAAAAAAAAAAAAAAAGAAATGACAGGCTATTAAATGACGAGAGATCCTATTAGGTCTCAGTTATAAATGCGTCCTCCTTCCTGTCGGCCATGTACACCGAGCCACTGCGATGCGACTCATGTGCGGGAGTGACATCGCAGCTCGGGCCATTCAAGTGGCCAAAAGGCACGGACCCCCCTGGAATGAAGACCAGGCAAAGATGAAGCGCCCGGGACATGCAGGTTCATTCATAGCGCAGCGCTGGAGGGCTCTGTTTGACAGGCAAGTCTGCCATAATGTGCTAATGTGTGATGCATACTAACATAATGCCATAATCCACCTGGGGGCGATTTAAAAAAAAAAAAAAAAACACGAAAGCAGACTTTACTACCACTTTAATTGATACATACTTCCATCCAGGATGCAATCCTTGCAGCCAGTACAGTATTTATATGTAATAAATAACATTGGTTGTGCCAAAATGTAATGTATGCATTTTTATCAAGGCTATATTGCAATGCCCTCTTACATTACAGAAGTATCACATCTAATAGGTCATAAAGCTCTGCCTTTCCCACATCACACCACTTATTCAGCACCAAGTCACCACACAACTGTCCATACACCCTCACACTCTGGATGCCGACATTCCCTTTAACTCTAACGAGACCCAGAGAAAGTACAATACCAGATTAAGAGCTTGCATTGTGGTTTATAAAATTTAGCAAAGATCCCAATACTGCCAAAACAAAAATTTGCTAGTGGGTAGTCATGCATTTTTACCCCTGGTCTGCCCTCACCGGAGAGATTCCTACTTCCCGTCCCATACAAGATAAGGGTAAGCAGCGGCGGACTGACCATTTGGAAACTTGGGCACTGCCTGAGGGCCCAAGGTCAGTAGGGGGCCCCATGAGATGCCCCTGGTACCTTTTTCATAAGCTTTTTTGAGTTTGGGCAAGGACACAGGGGCCCCATGATTCCCTATTGCCCGGGGGCCCCATGAGTTGTCAGTCCGCCCCTGAGGGTGAGGCAGCCAAATGGGACAGGAAGGCACAGAGCAATAAATTACTGTCAAGTTCTAATCCTTCATGTCACATTCTAACCTCCAGAACAGTCACTTTTCTGACCAGAAGTGAGGGAAATCTCACAGTATAACCCCAGGGGCCTTGACCAGTCACAAGTGTAAAGCCTTTTTGTGGCATGAGAACCTGGACTAAAAGTCAATAAAAAAAAAAAGTGGCAACATCTGTCCTACCAAACACTGTTCAAGGACACAAAATGAGCACCTTGACATGCAATTTGACCCTTCTTAGAAATAGGATCTGGTGAAAGAATTTTCCAAAAGAGGCGCACATGTGGAGAGTTGCCTACAGGATGAAAAGACTATTCCTACTGGGATCCTTTTATTTTACTGGATATTTAAGGATTGCATACCAATGAATGTGGATTAGTGTATTAATAATTGGACTATAGAGGACAAGTATATGGATGCATCAAATGGGATTATGAAATTGTGATAAAATGGTGTGAAAAGGATTTTAACCTTGTGATATTGGTTTCACACAATAAAAAAAAAGGGAATAGGAACCAATTTGTATTGTCAAAATTCTAATCAAGAATAGAGAAGTGCCAGGCATAAAGGAGAGTAAACTTGGCCATAGATTGAATCTCGGCCGGTTCAGCAGGGACCAGCCACTATCTATGGGCTAGTCGATTGTTGTAGGACTGTGGTACAGCCAGCATGTTGGATTTTTCATGCAATACTGGTCAGCAGCTATAGCCACTGAAGACATCACCGAGTCTACCATCTTCATGGACTGATGAAACAAAAATTGAATTGCTTGGAAAGAATACTCACCTCATGTAAAAAAAAAAAAAGGGGTACAGCTAACCATTAAACCAACATTCCAAAAAGAGAAGTATTATGGAAGGGACAGGTTTTGTCCTTTCCTCACTGTCTCAGGGCCTGGAGAACTTGCAATCAAGGGGAAAATTCCCAAGTTTAAATATCTTCCAGGAGATCATGTCAGGGTGGCTGTCCACAAGCTGAAGCTTAGAAGTGGCCCAGTCAGAGCCAAGACTTTAACCCCACAGAGATCCCCTTGAATGACCTCGAGAGCCGTCCACACCAGACATCCTACATGTCAGCTGATTCAGGACCATTTTTTGACCATTCCTCTTTAGAAAACTGAAAGTGGTTGTCTGATCCAGAGGTATGAAAAGCGCTTACTTGAAGACATTGCTGCCAAGGTGGTTTGACATTCAAAAAGGATAGTTTGCCTTTTCAACCAGCACTGTGAATGTTTAATGTGTGTGTTCAATGAAGACTTGATAAATTAGAATAGTTTATTATCAGCTTTAACTTAGATGAGGATCAAGCCACATCTTATGGCAATTTATTGCAGAAAAAAAACAAAACAAAAAACCCAAAAGGGTTCACACACTAATTTGCCACTGTATTTCCCCCTCCAATATACTGTAGTCACAAGGATAGGGTTGCCTTTGACATAGGTCGATTGAGTGCTCATTTTGGAAATAAATGGGATACTGTGAACAGACTTGAAATTTTTGTTCAAGGATGTTCAAGTGTTGAGTTAATCTAGAGGTTGCTTCGAATAATAATAATAATAATAATAATAATAATAATAATAATAATAATAATAATAATAATAATAATAATAATAATAATAATAATAATAATAATAATAATAATAATAATAATAATAATAATAATAATAATAATAATAATAATAAATAATAATAATAATAATAATAATAATAATAATAATAATAATAAATAATAATAATAATAATAATAATAATAATAATAATAAATAATAATAATAATAATAATAATAATAATAATAATAATAATAATAAATAATAATAATAATAATAATAATAATAATAATAATAATAATAAATAATAATAATAATAAATAATAATAATAATAATAATAATAATAATAATAATAATAATAATAATAATAATAATAATAATAATAATAATAATAATAATAATAATAATAATAATAATAATAATAATAATAATAATAATAATAATAATAATAATACACTTTTCATGTAAACTGTGGGGTCTCTTACAAAAATCGGTGTACATGAAAAGTGGATCATTTTGGAAGAAAATCACTGTTTTGAATAAAAGGCGGGCTATATCCCGCAAAAGAATGCGAGTGGTCTGGAGAGATTATTTTGAGGAGAAATTACTACGGTATCACGCTATGGTCTTTTCTTCTTCCTGATTTTCCTTGGGGGATTCGGTGAGAGGAGTAAGCAGAAGAGGTACCTAGACATAAGAGGAAACAGCACTTGGAGGTCTCACAAAAAGTAAAGGGGGTCCAGGAGCCCTTAATCCTGAAAGGCGTGTGACTCACCAAATATCTGGTGAGTGCGGCTAATGTTGATTTCTACACTGGTGCATGGTGAAGGGATCAGTAACACGGAAGAACCAAATGAAAATTATAATTTAATTTGTTTTATTTTTGTCACGGGACTGTAATTATATATATATTTTTTGGGATTTTTTTTGATTTTTTTTGTCACTTGATTTTTTGTCACTGGACTTATGATTCTAATGTTTATATATTTTTTTATATATCAATTTATTTATATATAATTTATTATATATATCTTTATCAGCACAGTAATGTTTTTTAAAGCCGAGTAATGTAATTAACCATGTGGGTTTGCGCTGGTTTTCATTGTTAAAAGTTTTTTTGGTCTTTTGTACCTGTGCACAGCAGCATCCCACGGGGATTTGTGTGGTAAATAGGAAGTCCTGAGCGCTGAGGTTTTGTTTTCTTTACATAAAAAATATTTAGTAAACTCAAAATTAGTCAAATTTAGCCAAAAATGTATTCTGCTGCATGTTAAAAAAAACAAAAAAAAAAACCAAACACAAATCAATATACACTTCTTGGGAAAGTTATAGCATCTACAAACTATGGTATAGATAAACGAATTCACACAGCTTTTACTTTGACTGCCCATCACATTGCTTGTGGTGCTGAAATACCAGGATAGTACAAACACCCTTAAATGACCCCTTTTTGGAAAAGTAGAAACCCTAAGCTATCCACCGAGAGGCATATTGAGTCTATGGAAGATTTTTTTCTAGGATGTACTAGGCTGCTGGTGCTTACCTGTTCCCCAAAAATGTAGAACGGTACTAGTACTGGCACTCTGCTGCATATGAGAGTCATCAAAATTTACCGGCAAGTGCTAGCAGAGATCAGGCCTGATTCTGTGAACACTGCGGTTGTGTGCAATGTATCAAATGACCATGACCCACACACACTGCACTTGCGGGGGGAGAAGGGGGGGGGAAGCATAGGGGCTAAACGCAGGTGCTAGGGCTGATCCCGCCAACGCTGTGTTTTTAGGGACACTATACTGTGAACGCTGGTATAGTGCTGATCTGATCAAAGATATTGATCCGTTCAGACACTATACTAGCAATGGAGGTTTGTATGAGTGTTCCTGGCAATCAAGGGGTTAAATGTGATTACTGGTGTACTGATGGGCAATCTGACTAGGAGGGGAGTGAAAACCATGGGAGCGCGAATCACGTATACAAACACGTGATTTTGCGCACCCGTGTCACCCTGTAGCAGTATTTCTGCCATAGGGTGGTCAGGAAGCGGTTAGCGTTACAGCGCTGCATTACTTGACAATTGTGCGGTCATGCAACGGTGCACCCAAATGAAATTTAAGTCTTTCCCCCACGAATTGAGCTTGCTTTTGGTGGTATTTGATTGCCTGTGCATTTTTTGAGCTACAAGAAAAAAAAAAAAAAAAAAAAAAAAAAACACACATGACTGACAATTGAAAAAAAAATTGTATTTGCCATTAAAAAAAAAAAAAAAAAAAAAAAAAAGTTAGGGCAAAATGTATTCTACTCCATATCTTCACTAAAAAAAATCCCAATACATGTAAATTCATTTGTTTACGTGAAAGTTGTAGCGTTTACAAATGATGGAATAGATACTGAATTTTTTTTTTTAAATAATGGCAGCAATCAGCAACTTATAGCAGGAGTGCAGCGGGCTGAGACTGGGGGGAACCAAGTGTCACCCCCAGTGACACCAATACAGTGATCAGTGCTAAAAAAGGTTACTGTGCGATGGGAGTGTTTTACTAGGGGGCAAGATGTTGTGTTCTTCACTGCAAGCACACTGCTCTAGATGGCTGTGCTCAGCCATCAAGAGCAGTGTGCTTAAACTGCCAGGGAGGACAACTGTTGGTAAACAAAAGCAGCCCTCCTCCGTCAGTGATCGCCGGTAATTACCGGCTGGGACCCGGTAATTGACACCCATGGCTGTGAATGGCAGCATGGGTAGGGCATGTGCCCCCTACCCAGAAATGCAAAATGAAGTAGATACACACACGATTGTGCGCACAGAGGCCACCCTATAGCAAAACATCTACTATAAGACGGTCCTTAAGTGGTTAAACAGTTTCTCCTGACAGGAGAAAAGTTAAATGCACCCAAGCCATGGTTTTTCCAAACGTGTTTACACGTGTTCAGGTGTATTTGGGTATTTTCATTGGCCAGAGTTTTGGGGTTTATTCATTCTGAACACAAGCACTAAAAACATGCCACTTAGACACATTTGGCCATTTTATGCCCAAAAGCTCCTCTGCTGAAAGATTCTTTAGAGTTCAGGAGAAGAAATTTGCCTCAAAAAGGCTCCTAAAAAAAAAAAAAAAAAAAAAAAAAAAAAAAAACTCTAAAAGCTCCTGAACTGCTCACATGACAGTCCAGTGTATATTTTTTTTCCTGCATCCACAACACCAGGGGCGGACTGACAACTTGTGGGGCCCCCAGGCAATAGGGGATCATGAGGCCCCTGTGTCCTTGTCCAAACTCAAAAAAGCCTATGAAAAAGGTACCAGGGGCATCTCATGGGGCCCCCTACTGACCCCGGGCCCTCGGGCAGTACCAGAGTTTCCAAATGGTCAGTCCGCCCCTGCACAACACAC